ATCTTTTAAGCATCTCGAAAGGGTCTCCACTTTGCTGCTGCTCCAACATCCAGTAATGCTTCACTCCCATGGATCAATGCTAAGTTAGACCAGTAGATGCCTCYGCCCCTCAGGTGCTTTCCAAGGAAGACTTTAAAAATGCATGAGCAGCTGCTGCAAGAAACAAAACCTTCGCAAGTTCCAGGTTTCAAACAAACCCAGGCAAAACAAAGCAATGCTGCTTCAGAGGCATGTCCCTCCTTTGATGATGTGACAACAGTCACCATGAGTGCCCATCATCCAGAAACTTCCCTGGCTTCTCTTCCCACATAGGTGCACATCCAGAGCAAGGTGCAGAGCCGGTTTGATAAGGCAGTGTATTTACACAGTCTTATAAATTAGCTTACACTCACATTTCCCAAGCTTGCAGGCAGTCCCAGGCTGGGGGGATGGTTGTTTACAGATGCTGAGCTAGCCACAGTTCAGAGCTGGGCCTCCCAAAGCTCCTGCTCTCAGCTCCTGTACCGCTCATTAACTCAACATCTAGCATTGAGCAAGGGAAAGGAGTAATTAATTCTCTTCACTTATGGGGAAAATACATTTGTATATTTAGTAATAAAAAAAGTCTGCCATCAGAGGTAAGTTGCCCCAAAGGATGGAAATTACTTTTGGGTTTTTTTTTTTTTGGACAAATAATAGCTAAGGTTTAACAGATCGGAGCAGTTATCCCAGGTATTATTTCTCTTCCCCCACTCATTCTCAGCATTATTTTCATCTGACCTCTAAAGAATATACATTAAAAGGCAAAAAACACAGCAAAATTGGAGAAAGACTGAGTGCCAAACACCAAGCACAAACCCAGGCAAGGTTTTTGACGAGAGAATAGCAGGCAGCACAACTTCAGAGTCATCCCTCAGCATCCAGACTGGCTCACAGCGGGATTTCACCCGTGCAAAGGTGTGCAGACTGCAGCTGCAGCCTAACAGGTGCAAGACCTGGACYTGTTTTCTCACACCTTAGTCCTCGAAGATGATGCTAACGAGGGGGGAAATTTCATCCGTTTTTGCATCTGTAGCAACAACTGCCCAAATATAACAAAAGCCAACTAGTCATATGTTCTCTTCTGCCATAGCCTAAGATGGAAAACACACAAACCTTGGCTTTAATTAGAATGGCTGTTTTAGTAACAGTCATCCCCCMCTTTGAGACTGCAGCACCTTGATACTTGGCTCATTAAAATAGGGGTTAACAATAGTGTTATACCATGAGAAGAGGTACCAATATGATGAATGCGCATAAGGGACATCAAGCAAAGTTTCAACATACTCAAGCAGTTAGAGCAGCCAATTTCTTTCCTGTTGCAAAGGGAACGGCCTCAGTAAAGCAGCACAGGCTGCCCCATGTGCTTAGGAGCCCTCACTCCCAGCAGCTTAAGTAGCTGGCACCGCTCTCCTGCCCCACGCAAGATCATCCATGAGGCAGCAAAGCTTAAGTCAGGCAGCAAATGCAGCTGCCTCAAATGCAGCATTTGCAATCAGCTGACATGAGAACCATTTTCCTTTCTGCACCCCCCCGCTCCCCACTTCAAGCATCAGGGACTTACCCAAGAGGCAGGGGGTTCTCTCCTCCCTTAGCCCTAAGCCACAAATGCAAAGAAAAATAAAATAATCAAAAGAAAATGCCAAGCCTATAAGTTTGCTGCCAAGGGTTGCAGTTTTAGCTGAAGCCAATGACTTCTCAATTTCCACAAAAACAAACAAAAACGTCCTCTATCCCACCTTCCTTCTTGTAGCCTTGTGACAGCATTTTCAGGCCATCTTTAGAAACTATTGCTTCCTGAGGACTTTCCTCTCCTTGCTTAAGCTACCAGTCTGGATTTCAAAAAAGTGAAATGTTGATATTGAAAGTGAAATGCATTTGTGCAGTGAGACTTGCATACTGATGCACAAGCTGTCAAACCAAGAAAGCATCTTACAACTGCCATGGTATAAGGAAAATACTCATCCACMCTGACAACTGCAGAACACAAAGCTGCCCACACCAGTAGACTGTGTTTGTGTGAAGGGAAACTCTGCTCATTAATGTCTTCTCTRGCCTGCACCAAATAGTTTGAGTGACCTTCTGCATCAAAACAGCTATTTTTATGGCAAATTTTTAGAGTAAATGGGAGACCTACCAGAGCCCAGAGATAAAGCTGCTCCTCAGAAGCGCAGTCTCCAACTCCCCCTGTCCTCCACTGAGCTTTGACTTGACCCAAAGTTTTGGCTCAAATTGCAGTAGCCGTAGCCTCCTATGCTCCTGCCCAACACAGCCACGTGAAGACCAGCAAAGGCAGCTAAGTAGAAACAAATCTCAGCCTATTGGAAAAGCATCCGGGGAAGACTATTAAAAATATATCAAGTTCTAAGAAGGGCAAAATCGAAAATTCTGGAGTCCGCATGTATTTGAATTTGCACATCTGCCTGGCCATTAAAAGAATAAGATCTTTTTATAGGAAATATCAGCATACATTGTTGTAACTGCTGAAAAGTCACTGATAATTCCAGTGAAATTCTCTTGGCGAGCACTTTCAGACTCTACAGAAGCTGAAGACTTGCATGTTTTAGACGCTGCAGCAAGGACTTTCACAGCTCACCAGCTAATTTGAATGTTGAGCTCTTTCTGGAAGCCTGAGCCCCGAAAGGTAAGCACCTCGAGTATTTGGTTGCCCAGGCTTAGCTTTCCTGAAAGCACCAAAGCTAAGGGGCCAGATGACTAACCTCGTCTAGAAATCTGAGGCTTGAAGCTTTGCGAGTTTCTTTATATTGGCATTAGGCATCTTTTAAAAAGAGGTAGGCGCACCACACAACACCTCTGCTTCTAGGGGGTTGAGAACTCGTGTAATATCACAACAGGAATTAGGTATTAAGGGTGAAGGGGAGTTTAACAAAGCTGCACTGAAACCAAGCGGCATTGAAACCAAAGAAAGTTTGAGGTTAAGGGCAAAATCCAGAAATCAGTATTATTATATCTATTCTTCRGGATAAGTGTAGTAGGTGCATGAATCCTATTTAATTAGTCAAATGGATGAAGTCAAATGGATGAGGGGGTGGTATTTGCAAAGCAGGAGGATTTCAGGAGACTAAAATTCGTCCAAAAATTAAAACAGACCCAGAAGAACGGGGTGGTAAARTTAATGTTCCAGCTCAATGGTACCCCAATGCCTACACACAGCTTGGAAAATGCACTGGTGGAGCTTGCACCCCAGGCTCCCAGAGCCAGAAGAGATGAAGCTTTTGACACGTGARAACACCAGTTTCAGAAGCACATAGGTGAAGCTCATCTGTTAAACACCCCTGCACTTCCACAAACTGCAAAGAAAGGAAGCCATCACCATTGCAGAAAACTAGCTGCTTCAAGCAACTTTATTAACTTGCACCACAGCCCACAAGTCCTCAGTGAATACTCGAGCAGTCAGATCCAGCAAGGAATTATGAAAATAACGAGGGAGGAAGAGGGGGCAGCCAGGCTAAGAACTACCAGCCAAAGAGAAAGAAGTATTGCAGTTATCAACATTTAAAGCAGAATCAAGCTAGTATCACATCAGTCCTCTCATATCCATTTACAAGACACCAAGAATCAGTGAACACTTACATCATGAACAAGAGGAGCAGAAAAGCAGCCCCCTAAAAATTAACACCAGCTATGCACTCCAATATTAGGAAAACTTCTCACCAAATGTTTAAGCTAAAGCAAATAAAAACTGACTTATGCACCACTACATTATAATATTCTCACACTGAACATTTTGGCTTTTAAGTTTCATATGCAAGTTGAAAGCAGGGCAGAAGCTAAAGGAAAGTGAGGAAGAACATGATCTCTTAAGAGGATTAGGAATTAAGTTAACTGCACATTAGAGATAAAATAGCGGAGCACTTGTCTTTATTTTTAATAATAAACCACAAGGCATTGAGCTACACAGCACGATTAACTTCTTTCGACTTCTCAGCATTAGTGCTGAGACAGCAACACGGTAGGCTCACAGAAATATTAAGAATACAGGGCAATTATGTTGAGTTTAAGTGAATTTAGAGTAGACAAGTGCTACACTGTAACCCAAAAGAGCAAAGTCCTTTGTTTAAAGAGCAAACTGACCATATATAACACTAGAATTAATTCCTCCAAAACAGAAGTCACTCATGGTTTGAGGTGACCAGATTAAAAAAAATATATATTGTGTCCCCTCCCTCTTGCTTAACTTCACTTGAGAAGGACTGCTGCATTAACATGTTCATAACAGGGCCTCTCAGAGCACACAATTCATCTGGATACTTAATCTCTGGAATAAATAGCCTACTAACAATGGGGAGAAAAAAAAGTGGATCTTTCGTAGGGGGGAAAAAAGTGGAARAAAGTGGGGAGGAAAAATGAATTTGGGAAACCTAGGCTCAGATCACTTCCTCCATTACTAGCTCTATGCAGACTCATATTTCCTTTTGACTGGGTTCTCCTGTTTATAAAAACATCTCTTACCTTTTTTCCTCATGATTCTTATATTAACAGTCTTGAGRATACTAAGTTAAGAGGGACTATTTTGTTCATTAGACAAATAAGATTTTAGCAGAACCCGGTACTTACCAAGTTTCCTGGCAATAAAAGTGCTCCTCCCGCTACTGAGAAGAATTCAATTTCAATGGGTAAGTACAAATCTTGAATTATTTTATGTAGTTCCATGAAATTCTAACTTTATTCTYGAGTTTCCTTACCTAGCTTAGGATAACTGCCTGGGAACACAGAAGCAGAGGAGTCAGAGCTCCAGCCCTGCTTATTCTCCAAGCTGTAAATGCTTCTGTTGCCTATGAACAAACACCTACATGCTTTCTCCCCTACTATAACCATACACACAGGAGACACTCCCCAGAAATATAAGCAAGGCCATGTTTATAGTTTCTACCAAACGCTTTCTAAAATACCACTTTATTATTTGAAAGAAGTAGAAAACACTCAAACCACTGAAAAAACTTTTGCTCTAAAGCCATTACCTTAATATTGCATTCTTGTCTCTGTACAATCTTGGCTGCCTCACACCTGAGCAAGAAGTGCTTTTCCTGCCTTATATAGAGTCTACCACARGTGATCTGGATCCAAGCTTAAGTAAATCCAGGTTGCATCATATGGAACAGCTGAAGTCATTACAGCATGGCTTGCAGCAGCTGCTCTGAGATGAAGCACCTGGTGCAATAAGCTGGGTTTCACCTTCTTGTTTGCCATGTCTTCTTTCTGGAGTTATCTGATGTCCTAAAGGAGGTAGCAGGGCTATGATGTGCCTGTGGTGGGGTGGAAGACACTCCATRGACAAGCATACAAGTTCAGGACTTGCTACATGTGTGGAGTTTTGTGGCAGTCTTTAGGCATTAAAACACATGAAGACCTCAGTTGCAAATAGGGCTTAGTACAATCTGTGAATGTTTGGAATACCAAAGTGAACCTTGCAGGGATACCACCAAAATACACAGGACAGAGYTAGAGCTGCTGAGAGTTTTCTAGCAAAACCTGCAGAAAAGTCAATGACCCTAAACCAGAATACTCCATGGAAGCAGAGCTTCCAATATCAATTTTCTACAACCTCACCTCATAGGTTGTAGGGATTTCAAAACATCATAGGTAGAGCAGACAAACTAGTATCTACCCAAGCTGGCCTTTAAACTAGCAGATCCCTCAGGCCAAGTGAGAAAAACGAGCCTTTGGTCAGATTTCAAAGGAAAAATAATGTCGTTAGAAACTGCTTTTGGGCTCCTCYAGAATGAGCAGTGTCAGTATTTTGGGAACCTGAAAGCCTGGTTCCTGCAAAGATCCAGTTTGTGTCTCAGGAGAACCTTGGCCTGTCTGGATGCCCATGGCTGCCAGGTTTCATTTGGGGAAGGCCACATGCTCCTCTCTGAAGCTGCTGGGGTCCTAGCTCTTTCCTTGCTCTATAGGAGAGGAACTGCAGAGCCTGGATGCACAAGGGCATTGGGAGTTGTTGCTTCATTTTGGGGTAGAATCCTTCAAAGTGCCATTTCCTGTTTTGTCCTTTGAAGTTATCAGGATGGCTTTGTTCTCCACCCAAAAGAGAATGTGCTGGTTATTTTCCTAAGTCTAACAGGTGGAGTTCTCACTGCTCACAGCCTCCTCTATAATATTCAAGGATGAGTATGGAAAAGTAGGCTCATTTTCATATTGGGTAAGCTCTGCAATCCTGCAAGTTTGCTGAAACTGAAAAGACAATACAGAGCTCCATAATCCCAAACTGGTGCTACTGCCTGATAGCCAGTTCCCCTTGCATTGCACACTTGGAATAAACACGCAGTAGCCTTGCCAAGTGAATCAAATGGGTTATTCAGCCTAGCTTTTCTAACAGTCTTCCTAATAATTCTTTTTCATACCTTTGGCAAATTTAGGAACTCCTGGGATTTCTCTGATGCTCAGCAGAGAGAGTTTAATGTTATTTTGAAGAGATCGCCAGCTCCTTATAGGGCAGAATAAATTCACAAGTATCAGCAATAACTTAGTCTTTAAAATGCCTGCAGCTTCAGGAATTCACATCACAAAGGCATCTTAGCGTGTATCCAAATGTTCTGCTACCTACAGATCATTCCTGCCCATCTGTCTGACCACAAAACTAATATTTGCCAATAGCTAATTTACTCAAAGGAGGCTCCAGAATTTCCAGAAGACAGATATATATCAAAAAGAAGAGAATGCAGCAGATCGATCTTTCCTCATAAAATAAATAAATAAATAAAAATATCTTGTATTTGCTAGACAGCTTTTTCCTTTCCCAGTGAGTTTAGACTTGCAATATGGTGGTCCTTCATTTGAGCACATTGGGCGTGTTTAAAAAATAAATAAATAAATAAAAATATCTTGTATTTGCTAGACAGCTTTTTCCTTTCCCAGTGAGTTTAGACTTGCAATATGGTGGTCCTTCATTTGAGCACATTGGGCGTGTTTAAAGTGAAAATCAGACACATAATGCATAGCTAAATAAAATAAAATAAAACAAATAATATAAAAACAGGAAACCAAAACACTGACTCCTCCCCCTTTCCCAGTGACACATTTTAAATATGACTAATCTGCTTTTGATAGTTTAAAGAGTCAGTCATCTTCCAATACTAGTAAGTTCAATACTACAGAACTGTCATTTTATTTTGCAGTTGAATTCACAAGTTGAGCCTAAAGACACTGCTTAATTCACACACCAAAATGCTGCAGGTGGAAGCCAAGGACATTCATGACACAGGCCCTCAATTACAGGCAAATTCAACCTTGTGTAGCCAGCAATGATATGTGCATAGAAACAATATCCATTCTGATCCTGTAGTAATCCACCTGCCTGAATTTCATCTAAGTATTCAAATAGAAAGAAATCCAACTGATGCTAAGTTTATTTGAGCTTGTTTTCCATTTTATCAGGCAGCCTTGGGGCCATTCAGAGTAAAGTTCACTAAGACAAAGCTGCAGAGACAGGGTGCAAGTTCACGAGGCTCCAAAAATATGGAGTCTAGATTTAGCAAGAACATAAAGCTATTGCAGTCATTAAAGAGTAATTCTTCAAATCCGATGACCACTTTGAATATAATCCCTCTTAATTCAAATCAACCTAAAGATAAAACTAAATAACTTGCCAGAGCAGACTTACTGTGTTGCTAATGGGTATTACCAAATATAATAATAATAAWAAAAAAAACCTTCAGTGAAATCTCTCATATAGAATTTCTAATAATATATCTAAAAAGCTCTTCAGGGGGGAATGAGGGAGTGGGATCCTTTTGGAAACGAAGAAACAGACACACAGATTCTTGGTCTAACTTGCCTCAAACTCCTCAGCAGAAGAGGAATCAAAACTCAAGATCTACAGTCTGCTGCTTTGAAATATAATTTTTATGATGTTTCAGTCATCTGAAGAAACATGCTGCAGAACAACACATACTTGGTTGTTTTCCAAACAAGTGGAATCAAGACCATTGTTACCCATAGTTTGGCATAATTTGGCTGTGCCCCCATACTACCAGGAAGAGCATTGCCTGGTATCACCCAGGAGCTCTGACAGATGGGGTCAGAGTTGCGCACAAGTTACAGTTAAAAACAATAATGGAAAAAAAAAGCCTTTTAAAGGCTTATTGACAAGGTGAAGAATGCCGTCCTTCTGGTGCTGAGACTGAGGTCCCACTGCTTGGTGGCATGGCGAGAGAAAAGGCCCCTGTCACGGCCCACCGCGGTCCGACCGTCCCTCCTGACACACTGCCACAGCTGGCAAGGATGCACCAAGACAGTGTCTGCAAAACGTTTTCTACTCAAAATTGACTTATTTTGTCTTATTGCACTTATTTTGTTGCCCAGTATCCTCTCTTCCTTATCTGATGTTAAAAACAAAAGGAAAGCAACCATTAGGAATTAAGGRAGATGTGAGCAGTGAGAGAATATGGATGGTGAATATTTAAGAGAAAGAGAGGAACTGTGGAGTTTTCTTCCCCTTCCTGATGAGATTTTTAAACAAGATTCTTATTTTAACCCTGTTTGCAAATGCTGACACTGCTTTTTTTCTCCAGTACCTTTTCTTGTGACAGTAGCTGTCTGAGCAGCCACTGCGAGTCCGTGCAGGTCCCCAAGAGCAGAGGCCAAGGTCAGGTRCCTGCCTCACTGATGTCACCTTATCTCGCCTGAGGCAACTGCTCGCTGCCAAACCTGGCTCTGATCCTACAGCCTGGGACAGCTGTCAAGATGACGGCAAAATGAGAGATCTGATCCTTCTAGACTGCATTTATACCTGCAGAAGGCCTCTCAGGCCCAGAAATGCAAAAGACAACGGGTCAGAGGTGGTGGTAGAAACAGAAAGGAGATTACTATGGCTTCTGCTGACAAAAGAAAGACAAAAATAAATAAATAAATAAATAAATAAATAAATAAATAAAAAGGAAAGAGAAAAGGCACTCACAGCTGCCTGTCACACTTACTCCTTTACCTGCCACCTCTTTTATCTGTTATCACCAGGGGCTAGATGGGGCTAGATGGACAATCTTAGAGCTGGAGCATCATCTAAATAAACTTAGTTCTAGAACTTTCTTACTGCAGCACCTTGAGGGTGTATAATCCAATGCACAGCATAGTTCTTTTTGGCTTAGACCTGGAGCCGGAGTATGTGGACAGCATGCTACCACCTCTCTGCAGGGTGGCCTGAGGCAAGAGCACCTGGAAGGCCCCACAGATGCTGGAACTGTTTGTTCTGGGGAGAGAAAAAGAGAGAGGCAACAAACAAACCAAAAATAACCCTAAAAGATACAGCAAAAAGTGGCAAGACAGAACAGTTCAAGAAGCCAGTCTTTAAGACATCAGTTATTCCACTCCAGCACTTCTCACAGTGACAGGAAGAGACGTGTTGAGGGAGGACAAACCTACTGTCATAGTCTTGCAACTTTGGGAGAGTATCTCCCTCTAGTGTCTAAAAAAAGCCTCTTTTCGACACCCTGACAGTGAAACCTGCTGGAGGAGTCATGCCTGCAGGAGGAACTCTGTGCAGAGACCCTTTTCTCTCTCCTACACTGCCCTCTGCAGCTCTTCTTCTAGCTGTACCTGCAACGAAACTGGCCTCATGTTTGATGTCTGTAGTACCYTATATTCCTTGGCAGGGGACAAAGCAAACTCAAAGTGTTCATGTTTCCTTCAGGTCTTTTAACAACCCAGCCCTTGGCTGTCCCATCTAGCCTGGGTCCCTCTGGGATCCCAGGCCAAAGGTGGGATTAAACGCAGTGAGGTTGAAGGGCTCGAGTTAAAGCCCAGGAGACCCAGATGATTTCCTAGGGCTCTCCTCCCACCCTTTTACAGTCTTATAAGGGCTCCTGCTGGCCTCTATAGGCTCATACAGTCTCATGAAGAGCTTTATGGCCTTATACAGGCTTGTGCTGTACTCTACTGGATCATACAAGGCTCTGTGGGTCTCATTCTGGACTCCGTGGACTTGCACGGGCTTGGGCAAGCCACTACAGACTTGTACAGGTTCATGGTACCCTCATGGGCTTGTATGTGGTTATGCTGGTCTCTACAGGTT